GGGCACTGTCGGAGGGTCAGCGCTGAGGGAGCGGGGCACTGTCGGAGGGTCAGCGCTGAGGGAGCGGGGCACTGTCGGAGGGTCAGCGCTGAGGGAGCGGGGCACTGTCGGAGGGTCAGCGCTGAGGGAGCGGGCACTGTCGGAGGGTCAGCGCTGAGGGAGCGCCGCACTGTCGGAGGGTCAGTGCTGAGGGAGCGGGCACTGTCAGCTGTATCAACTTTAGGATTTCTGTGTTCGTCCACTGGAGGTGACGGATCCCATGTAACTCTTGGTTGAATCTTTTCCTCCTGTGCACTGACTGCTATTTGTACCACAGTCAATGTTGCCTTGATGGCATTTTCCCAAATCTTTTGTTTCGGGGATCATGCTATGCATAAATAGGGCCGTCACAGCGGAACTGTGACCCTACTCAAAAGTAACTTAGCAGTGGAAGAAACTGTTCAGACATTCTGAGGATGTGAATGTTTCCACAAGAATTTACAAATTCTTTCTCTTTCTAGCTAGCATTTCATTTCACACACTCTCAATTGTCATAGAGTGGTGCAGTTCTGACGTATATATGGAGGAAAAGGAGACCATCAATATTTACATACCCTCGTAAACTGAAGCATCAGCTCATGTAATGCACCATCTATATTTTTCCCAATCCATCAGTCCCAGGACAGGGACAGCAGAGGATTGGATACACAGTAAAGCTCTCTCTACTGTTTTAATCTGGTAGTAAAGCTTCTCAACTCTTTAAAAATGAAAGTAAAGCCCTCTCTACACTGTCTCCATGAAATTGTCCTAGGACAGGGACTGCACAGGATCAGATACAGAGTAAAGCTCTCTCTACAGTGTTCCCCAACTAACACCCCCAGGACAGAGACAGCACGGGGTTAAATGCAGTGTAAACCTCCTTCTGCATTCTCCCCCCATCGAACACTCCCAGGATAAGGACAGCACGGGATTAGATACAGATCAAATCTGCCTCCACATTGTCCCCCATCAAACACTCCTAGGTTAAAGACAGCACAGGGTTCGACACAGAGTAAAGCTCTCTGTACACTGTCCCCATCAAACACTCCTAGGACAGGGACAGGTTCAGAATTCCTGTTTTGCACTTCTCTTATCTGTGAGATGGACAGTTTGGGGAGCTGATTCTCACTGGGAGTGTACAATTGCCGTAGACCAGCTTGCACTTGTCACACAATGTTCTTTTGTTGCAGGTAAGACAAAGTGAAGACATGGACAGCTATAGCAGTTTTTCACGAGGCCCCAGCCTCAGAACATCCTCTGTTTCCATTGGGATATCTGATAATTCTGGAATGGATTTCAGCCAGTCTCCCAGGGGAAGAGACACGAATATCCTCACAGGTATTGTGAAGCTCATATTCAGCAGTTGACAGAGATTCATATATTACAATGTGCTTGGCACCAATTGTTACTCTGGTCACTCCTGAGTATATTTGGTACAGAAAATGAGATCCTGTGTTAAAATGGTGCCCTGTAATTTTGTAAAACATTACAAGACAGTTCACAAGACCATCACAAAGTAGAAGTTGACGCTGAACTGTATGGATGAGGCAGCGTGTAAATAGGACCTTAGATAGTGGTTCAGGGTGGGAATTCCAGAACAGGTCTCTGGACACAAAACGTTAACTCTGATTTCTCTCCACAGATGCTGTCAGACCTGCTGAGCTTTTCCAGCAATTTCTGTTTTTGTTTATGATTTCCAGCATCTGCACGTTCTTTCAGTTTTTATACAGATCCCTAGGCATTTGGCATCAATTGGCAGCTTCTAAAACTCCCATATCAATCCAAGCCACAAGTGCTGACAGGTCAGGCTCATGGCGGGAGAAATTTTACAGCAATGTCTGATACAAATCCTCGGATGATGTTTATGTAAGTCGACTTTAATGTCTGACATGGCTCAGTGGGCAAGTAATTAGCTTGCCTTTGATTCATGGGGCTGTGGACTTGAGTGCAAAAATTGTCAATGAAATGCCCAGGGAAGGACAGAGAGAATGTTGCAGTGTTGGAAGGTCAGTATTGAAGGAATGCACTGCCAGTGTCAGTACTGAGGGAGGTCACACTGTTGAAGTGTCAACACTGAGGAAGTGCTGTACTGTTAGAGGGTCGGTGCTGAGGGAAACATCAGAGTGTCAGTGCTGAGGGAGTGCCGCACTGTTGGAAGGTCAGCGCTGAGGGATGAGGCACCCTGTGGAAGGTCAGCACTGAGGGAGCACCACACTACTGGAAGGTCAGTACTCGGGGAGTACTGCACTGTTAAAGGGTCTTGGACTAATATTTACCTGTGAATGAATATAACTATAACAAATAATCCAGTAATGATCACAATGCAGATGGCAACATCATGCTGTGCGCCAGTTGGGTGCTGAGATTCCCTTGTTGGAATAGTCATTGCCCTTTGAGAAAATTACCTTACTAGGTGTAAAAGTGCTTCAGAAATATAACTCTTACTGTTTGTTTTATAAATGCCCCATGTGCTGTTTTGCACAAGGAGTGGAGACCTTCCGAGGCTTCTGATTGAGCCTCATGCTGGAGCTGTTGCGTTTTTGGGGTTTGTTACGTTGTACAGTGAGTGAGTGAATTTTGAACTGATGTATTACCAGCCTCATGTTTAACTTAGTTTTTTTTTCCTGCTGTTTCCTGCACGGATAGAAGTGAGAGAAGATGAATTCAGAGAATTCAGGCGCAACTCAGCAGTCAATTTGGTGAGTGTATATGTGGATGGATGGGAGATCTCGGATAAGTTCCTCTGCGTCTTCTTTTCTCTATGGCCACAGCCTAAATTTTGTTTGAGTTTCAGAATTCAAGCACCTGAGTTCCTTGCTTTGCTTTTAGGAGCCATTAAGTCAGGTGACTGAAAGCTTGGTCAAGGGGGTCGATGGTATGGAGTGTTTTAAAGGAGTAAAGCGAGGTGGGGAGGTTTGGGGACGGGATTCCAAAGGTGAAGGCCCAGGCAGCTGAAGGCACAGCTGCCAATGGTGTAGTGATGGAAAGCAAGGAGAGTCAGAACAATACAAGCACAGAGATCTGCAAGAATGTCAGAACAGGCCAAGACCATTTTATTCTTCAAGCCGGTTCTGCCACGCTAAGATTGTGCATCCTAACCTTTCATAATCTTTCAAAATCTTTCATTCTCAGATTTAAAATTTACCGGTGAGCAAGCATCAGTTGCTGCTTTCAGAGGGCTCTCTGGATTTCCTCCATGCTTAGTTTGTAGAAGTGGTTCCTAATTCCATACCTGAATGATTTTTAAACTCTTTCCCTGCCCTGGACCCACTGACCAGCTGAAACAATTTCTCACTATTCACTATTTCTATTCCCCTTAGTATCTTAAAAACATCTCTGAACCTTCTAAATCTGTAACCTGAGTGTGTGTAAATGCCCTGTATAATTCATCCCTTGGAATCCAGGTATGTATTCTGGATCTTGGAGTGTTGCAAGGGCAGGAAGAGATGACAGAGATAGGGAGGGTTGTAGGGGCTGGAGGGGGTTACAGAGATGGGGAGGGATCTAGGGGCTGGAGGGGGTTACAGAGATAGGGAGGGATGTAG